TCAAAGTATTTTTCTGCAAAGGAATACGCATCAAAAGTAGCTATAACTTCTACCAAAATTAGACAGTTCAGACTATGATGAGCAGTAAATATTTGTCAATATTTGTCAGTCAGCAATATTGAGCAAATAAATAGTATGACATACTAGATCTCCATGAATAAACTCTTACACAGCTGCTACAGTTGTAAGGGGAAGAAGAATGATTTTGCTAAATACCGTTGTCCACTCTTTAATTTTATAATAACTTATTTTGAAGGTAGATAATGAATCGAATATTCTGTTATACTACAAATACTTGGAATAAATGTGCTATAAAGCAATGAGCAGCAAGATAAAATCTCAGTGCACTTTTCAAAGAATTATTTAAGCCTGCAAATTTATGCTTTACTGATGAATCAGTTAATAGACAAGGCACAGTACTTCTGCATGGCATAGGCACTGTACAGTGCCTTGTAGCATAATCACCACATATATTTAATGAATTCTTGACGTTCAGCCTTTGCTAATTTTCTGTATTTTCTGCATTTCATCATTCTAATAGCAATTTATCCCTTCCCCAACACTTTTTTTTCAATGCTTGTGACATTCTAACAGGATGAAGGATATTCATGTGAGATACACCCCCTACCAGGAAAAAAAAAAAAAATCTCAGTCTCTTTTCCAAGGCTTCATCTAAACTCCATTGCATTTCATGGAAATCTTCTATGAGCTTTAAAGGATTTGATTTTATTCCAGCATCAAGTAGAATCTTAGTTACATGACTAACACAAATACTCCCTGAACCATTTAATTGTGTTTCATCATCCTGCTCACTTACTCAAGGGAGAGAGTGATTCATCATATTCCCCATATAGTAGCAAAACTATCTTTCTGAACTGACTCTAGAGGTTGAGAAGCCAAGACATTTGACCAATGAATCTCTTGTGTTGTAGTACCAGTACTATTTCCCTCTGAAGACCATGTGAATGTTTCCAGTTCTTTCAAGGACTTTGCAATGAGCTCCATCTTTCTTTATCCTGCAGTTTCACCAACCATGTTGTGTTTTTATTGCCACCAGTGAGCAAAAGATCATGAACTCATTTGTCACAACCATAACAGATAATAAGCAAAGGCAAGATATTACAGGATGGATTTGATTGTGTTTTATTCTAGGTCTCTTAAGTTCATAAGAACACAATGAAATATTTTTGCATGAAAATTTATGGTGTACATGTGTCTGATAATGCAATTTGTCCTGTCCAAATACAACAAAATATGGCAAGCAGAGCACTTTCATACTCAGAGTTTTGTGCTGGTTCTGGCTGGGGTAAGATTAATATTTTTCATAATAGCTGATATGAAGCTATGTTTTGGAATTATGCTGGAAACAGTGTTGATAATAAAGGGATGTTTTCATTACTGCGTATTAGTGTTTACACAGAGTTAAGGCCTTTTCTGCTTTTCATACCACTCCACCAGCGAGTAGGCTGGGGGTGCACAAGCCCTTGGGAGGAGACGCAGCCAGGACAGCTGACCCCAACTGACCAAACAGATACTCCGTACCACCTATGTTAAGCACATAAAGCTGGGAGAAGAAGATGGAAGTGGGGCATGTTTGGTGTTGATAGAGTTTGTTTTCTAAAGAATTCATTAAGCATGATGGAGCCTTGCTTTCCTGGAAATGGTGGAACACCTGTTTGCTGATGGAAAGTGGTGAACAAATTCCTTCTTTTAATTTGCTTGCATATACAGCTTTCACTTTGCCTGTTAAGCTGTCTTTATCTCAACCCATGAATTTTCTCAATTCTACTCTTCCTATTGTCTCCCCCATCCCACCCTTGGGGGGGAAAGGGAGCAAGCAGCTGTGTGGGGCTTAGTTACCAGCTGGGGTTAAACTGCGACAGTTTAAACGGATGCTGTAAGAAAAAGCAGTGTAACAAGGTGACTCCTAGTAAGGAGCAACCTGATGTAGTGGAAAGCGTCCGTGCCCATGGCAGGGGGGTTGGAGCTACATATCTATAAGGTCCCTTTCCACCTAAACCATTCTATGATTTTATGATGATTCTATGAAGTCATATTGAAAACACAAGTGCAAATGTATACAGCAGAAATGAAACCTTGTTTACAATTTAGCACTGACAGAAACCAGCAGGAAAGAGCCTGCATCTGTACAAGTGAGACAGCTTCTCAGCTGGCTCTGTGCCACCTGCTTTCTGGGAATTACTGACTCTGGGAGTTATATCTCCAGGATCCTGCCAGGGGCCTGATTTCCCAATCCGAGGGAGCACAAGCTTGCTTCTGTGAGGAGCAAGCTGTGGCTGCTCTCAGATATTGTATTCTACCTTGAAAATTATTTTGGGTCGTTTCCTGAGCATAAATGCAGCTTTAGCATCCTGGACTGCATAGGTAGGTCTTAAATGAGTGGATGAATTTTGTCTATAATGAAACTTTCAGGAGATCCCAGATACCTAGTTAGGACTAATGAGATAAATTTCACAGATTTCTCTAAATTGAAAAAGGCAATATCTTGTAATTTTTATTATGATATAATTTTCATTACTGATAGTTGGAAGAATTTTGCTACAAAGTGAAGACTGGATTTATCTAACTTGATTTATCTAACTATCCTGTGCCAGCTACAGGATTGTAATATGAGTTTTGGTCCCATAAAAATGGTGGGTTTTGCGTATGTAAGTTTAACTTACTTAAAGTTAATGGGACAGTATGTCTGTGTTTTCGATGCTTAGTCTATCTATGCTACAGTGCTTGGATCATATTATCATATGAGTTACTGAAACTGTATAGAAACAGAATGAGTGAAATCACTACAAAATATCCCGCAACATAGAGAGTGAGAAGGTTTGCTATAGTGTCCCATGTATTATTACTCTGAGTGTCAGCAACCTTTACTTTACCACTAACAGTAACATTAGTCCAACTCTAAAGGATCCCTTAAAATGAATAGGGGGTTTCAGTATACAAACTGAAGTAATAATACGGACCTAATATACAGCAAAGCCAAATGCCCAGTTACAGGGCTTTACGTCTATTTTTAAAAGAGGCCAGTAAGAATTCATGGTTAGAATTATAGGCATCTTGATTTATTTGGCTTAGTTTCCTCTAAGTATCTCTAGACAGTAAACCTCAGTTTTCAGAATATAAAGCAGTTAAGAGTAACAGCTTGCAAGTATTAGATTTTGTACTGCTTTCTGTCTCCTACAGAAAATGCTGAGCCTAATTTCTTTGCCAACATATGACTGAATTGCATACTGTACATGAAATGATTTATTAACATATATTTTCTGAAAGATTGGTCATGTAAATTTGTGTCTCAATATATTGTAGGATAAAGTTCTATCTAGTACATCTGGAACCTTAAGTTTTAGAATTAAATGTTGAATTTTCAGTTATAACAACTCTTTCATATTTTGAATTATTTCAACAAAATACAAATTTGCATACTTTGCAAAGTTATTCTCTCACGTATGTATGTAATTTACTTACATAAGTAATCAATATATGCAAAGTCTGATGGAACAGGTAATCCTGGAAACCATTTCCAAGCAGATGAACAATGAGAACGTTATTAGGAATAGTTAGCATGAATTCACCAAGGGGAAGTCATGCTTGACCAAACTGATAATCTTCTATGACAAAATGGTTTAGAGCTACTGGAGAGAGTCCAGCAAAGGGCCACAAAGGTGATTAAAGGACTGGAACATCTCTCCTATGAGGAAAGGCTGAGAGAGCTGTGACTGTTCTGCCAGGAGAAAAGAAGACTCCAGGGGAATTTTGTCAGTGTATCTAAATACCTTAAGGGAGGGTGCAAAAAAAGACAAAGTCAGGCTCTTTTCAATGATGCCCACAACCTGAAACTTAGTAGGGTCTGTCTTCTTTAAAGAAGAGATTCAGAGCAGCCCTACAGAGAAAGACTTGGGGGTGTTGGTCGATGAGAAAATAAATATGAGCAGGCAGTGTGTGCTTGCAGCCCAGAAAGCCAACCACATCCTGGGCTGCATCAAAAGGAGCGTGACCAGCAGGTCGAAGGAAGTGATCCTGCCCCTCTACTCTGCTCTCCTGAGAACTCACCTGGAGTATTGTGTGCAGTTCTGGTGTCCTCAACTTAAAAAGGACATGGAACTGTTGGTACAAGTCCAGAGAAGGGCCACAGGATGATCAGGGGACTGGAGCACCTCCCGTATGAAGATAGTCTGAGAAAGTTGGGGCTGTTCAGCCTGGAGAAGGCTGCATGGAGACCTCATAGCAGCCTTCCAGTATCTGAAGGGGGCCTATAGGGATGTTGGAGAGGGACTCTTCCTTAGGGACTGTAGTGATAGGACAAGTGCTAATGGGTTAAAACTTAAACAGGGGAAGTTTAGATTGGATATAAGGAAGAAATTCTTTCCTGTTAGGGTGGTGAGCACTGGAATAGGTTGCCCAGGGAGGCTGTGAATGCTCCATCCCTGGCAGTGTTCAAGACCAGGTTGGAGGAGGCCTTGGGTGATATGGTTTAGTGTGAGGTGTCCCTGCCCATGGCAGGGGGCTTGAACATGATGATCTTAAGGTCCTTTCCAACCCTGAATATTCTATGATCCTATGATTCTATGATTCTAAGATTCTAAGATTCTATGATTCTATGAATAGCAGAAAATGCTTTTTTACTGCAAGGGTGACCAAGCATTGACACAGGTTGCCTAGAGACGCTGTGAAGTCTCCATCTTTAGAGTTACTGAAAATCCATCTAGACATGTTCTTGGTCAACTGGCTCTAGGAAATCCTGCTTGAGCAAGTGGTTTGGACCATACGATATCCAGAGGTCCCTACATCAGCTATTGTGTGATTCTGTGACTTACTCACTGTCTGCATAACTAGTGAAATATGTATTTTTACAGAAAATTGATGATACCTGTTCACTTTTACGAAGATGAAGACAAATACAACTATTTAAAGAGAACTAGAGAAGTAGTTAAGTTCACCTTTGTAGGACACACACATTTAGTTTGCAGAGTAGCACTCAAAACTCTATTCACTATATTTATTTCATTTAATCCAGTGCTGGGTAGCTGAAGGACAATTAGATCTCCCTCTACATAAGTAGAAAGCTAGACCTGGCTTTCAGAATCTCCTCAAACATCAAGTACCCTAGCTCCTGAGCATGCTAGTGACCCTTGCCTGGATTTGCTTCAATAGGTCAATATCCTTTTTGCACTGGGGAGCTCAAATCTAGTCTTCCAAGTGCCAAATGGAGGTAAGCAATCACTTCCCTGGACCTTCTGGCATTACTCTGGCTGGTATAGCCCAGGATGCTCAGGTTGATTTCTCCCCTACAAAAACACATTGTAGATTCATGTTTAACTTGTCCACTGGAATCCCAGGTCCTTTTCTGCAAAGAAAACAACAGGTAATAAACAGCTAGCTTGACTTCAAAGCATTAATTTGAAGTCTGCAGTCTCTTCAATTTTTTATCCTCACCATAATCCTTTCCAAACCACTTATCAGTAATTTGGTTTTAAGCATAATGTGGGATACACTCTCATGGTGATTTTACTCCATTGACAAAATTACTCTTAACTTCGGTAGGGCTACCTGTATTATTAGGCACTGTTCATTATGAACAACAAATAGAAATTAAAAACTTACTGGATCTGTGCAAAGTTATGCAGATATTCACAACAATGTGTGAGCAGCAAGACTCAGAGGAAGAAGGCAGAAGTTGCATTCACATTTTCATCACTGTTCACCACAGTGACCTTCATAGCAATTTAGATGGCTGAAGTCAAGGTAGGCTCATCCTGCTCTCACCTGAAGCTGCTGAGAATCATGATGACAAGATAGGCATTCTTTGAGGAGTGAGTCTGAGCTATGTATATTAAGCTTATACACCTCATTGTACTACAGCTACACTAGGGCTAGATCAAGAAGTATGCCTTGCTGTCTTTATGTATTTGGATAATGCAGTCATCTGAATACCTTTGCACTACTTGAATAATATAAACCATTGCAGCAATCATTAGAGGAATCCCTCAAGGACACATTATCACGCTTTTTCTTTAGCTGAATCTTTCTTGTGATTATTCCAGAGAAAGGGAAGGAAATGGATCGTTCAACACCTGAATAGTGTCAGATGGCAATACATAAAACAGCATTCTCAGCATACCCTGCGGATAAGACCACTACTCAAGCAATCTCAGGATCATAATACGAGTTTGTATCCTCATCCCTGTTCTGAGTGCTCTTAAACTAGACAAAGGATGCGGAAATTTGCCATGTACAAAAAGAATAAATGAACCTTAAATACAGCCCTTTGTCTCTTTGATGAATCTGTGTCTCCCTTTGATGCAGATGACAATTACTTGCATACATGAAGATAATATCCCCATACCTGGGGAAATTTTAGCTAGGCTTTGTGAATAGGCATTGTGAATGAACGCAAAAGATAACTAAAAACCCTGAATCTAAGAACAGTGTAGCATGGAGTTGCCAACAACTTTATATGTGACTTTATAATTAAATGTATTTCTGCTTCAATGTTTTGTTTCCCCCTCCTCATCCCTCTTCTCTATTCCCCTTCCCTTCCACTCCCACTTCCCTTCTGTACTTCCTTTTCCTTCCCAACTGTGTTGTGTTAATAAATGTGGCTATAGGATGAAAATTACAATGGAAAGATTTCTTTTTAGTACACATCAAACAAAAGAAGCCAGCAATCACAGTTCATTAAATATTGATGTAAGTGATCTTTTCAGACCTTGTATGTAATTTTGTTACTACTGACAGAATGAAAAAAACTTATAGTAGAAAACAGTTTCCATTATAAGTTTCAACTGAAAGGTTTGTTGACAATGAAGAAGATACACAGAAAGGATAGAAAGATTGGAGGTTACAGATACAGCATGAATTTAGTGACTAAATTGACATATACATATTTTAAAAAGTGAATTTTATATAAGCAATCAGGCAACTGATTGTGCAATTTTTAAAAATAAGTTCCTGTTTTATTTGGTAAACTTAATGAATGTACTTTATTAGTTATATATTTATAGATATATGAAATGTGTATATTTTTTGTTTTACTAAGAGAACTGAAATAAATATGATGATGCTAGGAAAATCTAGTGTGCTTTGCACACGTCTGGCATTGTATAAACTGTAGGTTTGTGTCAGGTCTGAAAAGTTTGTCTTTCCCCCTTATTAGTACTACTAAATGACTTAGGGCATGAGACTGCATTCACCCTCTTATTTCTCCAATTCCATTTCCAAAACATTGACAAGATAAGGAGAGATAACAGAGTTGTCAAGTTACAAGAATCACCTCCTGAATCTCTATAAATCTTTTTTGCTCTGGCATTCTCAGTGCAATCATTTGTCTGTGGTGCAGCATAATGACCTGCATAATGACCTGTTTTTTATGATTCAGAGCCAGTAACACAATATCCCTGTTAACATGATTAATTAGCTCAAACACTATACAGCTTAGATTTAACTATCCTGCTGCTTGCTGCAGAGCTGAATCAGTCAGGGCCAGTTAAAGAGGTCTTCACTTCCCTCTGTTGCACAGTATTGGCACAACCTGTGACTCTCTGCTATGATGATATAATGTTAATTCCAAGCCACTACCTAATTACCTTTCATGCATAACATTTTTTTTTTTTTTTCACAATGGAGGGCATTGCAATGTAAGAATTGGTCAGGAACTTTGCAGTGTTGTAATTTTTCAGTAAGAAATGCCTGTTAGCTAAAGGATAACCCCCCCTCCCCCACTACATACTACCTCAAAGACATATCCTTTAATATTTTTTCTTCAATTAAACCATTGGAAAAAAGGTTCGAATTTTTCAGCATATAAATTTGGAAACTATTGAATGAAAAATTGCTATTTCCTTTGTAAGCTTAGTTAATTTCCTGTCACTCCAGATGAACAACTGAGCTTTCAATCATTTTGATGATGATAATAATAGTTTTCTCTCAACACTCTTTTCAGACAAACAACAGAAGGAGGTAGGCAGACCTTTGGGGAAGGAAGTGCTCCGGTTCTCAGAAGCAGATATTTCCCTGCAACCAGTGGAGGACTATGCTAGAGCAGATATGCACACTGCAGCCCATGGGGGACCCTACGCCAGAGAAGCCTGATATTGCCTGAAGGAACTGGGGTCCACGAAGAGCCCATGGTGGAATAGGCTTATACTGAAGGACTGCGGCCCATGAACTGGACCTACGATGGAGCAGGAAAAAAGAGTGAGGAGGAAAGAGCAGCAAAAACAGTTATGACTTGACTGCAGTTCTCTATTCCCCCTGTGCTGATCTATATTGGGGTAGGGAATAGAGGACCTGTGAATGAAAGAGTGAAGTTGAGGCTGGGAAAAGGGGAGGAAATTTGTATACATTTTGTGCTATTAGTCATTTACAGACAGAATAGAGTAACTGTGGAAGGATTACAGTATCTGATGTGTTCTACCAATGTCCTGGGTTCAGCGGTAGAAGTCATTTTTTTTCTCCTTCTTAGTAGCTGGTGCAGTGCTGTGGTTTTTGAATTTCAGCCTGGAAGCAGCACTGATAACACTGATGTTTTTAGTTACTGCTCAAATGTTTAGCCTGACCAAGGACTTTGTGAGTCTCATGCTCTGCCAGGGAGGAGGGGAACCCAGGAGGAAGCAAAGACAGGACACCTAACCCAAACTAGCCAAAGAGGTATTCCATACCACAGCACATCATTCCCAGGGTGTAACTAGAAGTTACCCAGAAGGGCTGGTTCACTGCTCGGTAGGGCTGGGTTTCGATGGGTAGTACTGTACTCTCTTTCCTTGTTATTTCCCTTATCATTATTATTATTGGTGGTAGCAGTAATAGTTTGTGTTATACCTTAGTTACTTGGCTATTCTTATCTCAACCCATGGGAGTTATGTTCTTTCAATTCTTTTCCCTGTCCCTCCAGGAGAGGGGACGAGGGGGAAGAAAAGCTGGGGGAGGGGGGAGGGTGTGTGTAGACTGCATAGTTCTGATTTACGGCCTGGGCTTAAACCACGACAACCAATCATTGTCATTAAGAAACAGCAAAAGTAATATTTATTTATTTGTGGGTTTAATTTTTGTTTGTTTTCTGAACTGAATTTGTGCAAGCAGATTGAGAGAAAACTGTGAAAGGGGAAAAAAGTAAATAAATAATTATGCAAATATCATGCTTAAAATTTCCAAGCTTTAGGCAGAAAGCTCAATGCAGTTTTGCAAAACTGAGCTTTCAGAAGTAAAGACTTGGGGAGTCCTGCACTGGCAAGAGATCAAGTCAGTCAAGAATCCCAGATGAGCAGAAATAGCTTGTAAGGTTTTAGTACTGCAATACACAAAAACCTAACCATATTCTAAAGGCAAAGAACAAAGTCTGTTCACATCTTACTAAAGGATACTACGGGTCTCTTTGTTAAAACCTAGACGCCTCAGTAGAACAGGAAACATGTCACCACATACTTCCCCAGAATGTTAATTTGATCGTGAAGAATATAATAACAATAAGCCAACAATCATGTTCTAAACAGAAGCAGATTTTTTTTTTTTAGGTAAGGCTTGAAAAATAAAAATATATTTTTATACCGTATATTTGGAATACTTGTGTTAACGAAACTTGTGGGTTAAGCAGTAAAATTCAAGCAAATGAAACTTTTTCATGAGCTGAAAGGTCTATTTGCTATACCAAAAGAATATGTGATTGACATATCATTTCCTACATCACAAAAGCATGCTAAAAACTGGAGTCACAGCATGTGGCCATGGTCAGTATGACAGATCGTGAAACACATCCATGTTAAGCACAATATGCTGAAAATATGATTTCTTTGGTGCTACATTTCACTTTAGGATTCCCTTAAATATTAGTTCTCTGATACTGAACAAAATTCATGATCAGCTCAGCTGTAGACTGGCTCTGATTAGGAGACCCCAAGCAGTTATCACCTCTCTTTTTGTCATTGTCTTGTGAAAAAAAAAAAAAAAGTGGAACATCATTTTGCAATTTGCTGGGAGACTGCTGAAATCCAGGAAAGTAATTTTTTCATTTAAAAAGGCAGAAAAGAATGAGAAAACACGTGGGGCAGCTTTCAATCAGTAGTAGGTGAGAACTGTATTATGAATTAAACTAAAGCAAATACCGAAAAGGAGAAGAAGCTGTTAACATTCTGAGCTGATATTTTCACCTTTCCTGGCAGCAAAATTGAGTCCCGATTCATTAAAGAACACATAATAAGACTTGCAGACTTTTAATAGGCCTCATGATATCATAGCTAAAATACCTAAACCCATAATTTCTTTTATTATAACTATTGATTCTGCCTTGTAAACATCAAATATAATCTGCGTAAAACACAACAAAGAATGAAATAAATGACAATAAGTGTTTGTATCAAATTTCTATTTCAGTCAGAAATACAGAAGTACATACTATTTAGAAATAGTTTTAGCATACTAAAATTACTCAAAAACTTACAGAGGCACAAGACTAGACATAAACTGGATCCATATTTTCTTTAGTGTATTTTGGTTTCATTATATAACTAATTTTAATTGTTAATTTATTTTAGCAGTCTAAATGGATGTAAAACTGAAAGTCAACAAAACCGATGGTGCTATTAGACTGTTTCATGGCTAAAGTGCTGCTAATTGTCAAGACTTCTATAGTCACCTCTTGCATTGCACACCCTTTTCTGCATGAGTGCTATTCAAGTACGAAAAACAAACTATCTGTTCTGTCCTTAAGTTACAATCAGACAGATACTAACCATGGGATAGCCTGGAATTCAGCTTGTCTTTGGGTTTCTGGCGCTTCAGATGCTGGCCCTCCAAGCACTTAACTTGCAAAATTATTTTCTGTTTTATAGGGTTTTTACCTTTTTTGGATCGTGAATGAATTGATGTTGATCTCTGAAAGTGAGAGACCCTAAGACTGTTGTATTTTTAGGACATATCAGGGGACCTTTAGCTGTTCACACTAGAAGAGAAAATTACTATTCAAAATACTGTCATGGATTTTACTATTCAAAATATTACTAAATTGTTAAACATTACAACACTGCTAAAAATTACTAAAAATTGCTGTTACTTAGTATCACAGTTAGCTACTATTCCCATGCCATTTTTTTTT